GCTGCCTTCTCGTCCCTGCTCCTCTGACAAGCATCCCGGGGCCGGGAGTCCAGCTGCCAGGCGCGGGGTGGGCGCGGACGCGGGGGCGCTGGGCTCGCGCGGAGCTCCGATCGTCGCGATGAACATCGTGGTGGAGTTCTTCGTGGTCACTTTCAAAGTGCTCTGGGCATTTGTGCTGGCGGCGGCGCGCTGGTTGGTGCGGCCCAAGGAGAAGAGCGTGGCGGGCCAGGTGTGTCTCATCACCGGCGCCGGCAGCGGCCTGGGCCGTCTCTTCGCGCTCGAGTTCGCCAGGCGCCGGGCACTGCTGGTGCTCTGGGACATCAACACCCAGAGCAACGAGGAGACGGCGGGCATGGTGCGCCACATCTACCGCGACCTAGAAGCGGCCGACGCCGCGGCGCTGCAAGGTAACTCGGACCCGCGCCCAGCATTGTTGGGTCAAACACCCCACAGCCCGCGCCCTACCCCGCAAGGACCCCAGACCCGGATCATGGTCAGTCCCGCTCTCGAGGAAAGAACACCCCATCCGTCTTCCGGAAGGCCAGTGGAATTTGCCCCTTGAAAGAGGAGCACGTAGTAGAAAGGGAAAGTGTGCCAAACCCAGTCTTAAGGACAGTTCTGGCACTTTGGGGTCCACCCTGAGGGTAGGGAGGGCCAGGAGAACTTGTTACCCCAGGATCGGATCCTGAAGACTTGTAAACGGCGCGGTGGGAAACTAGTGTCTTGGGGAAGTAAGTTGTTGGCAAACGCGGTGCAAGCATGTATCTTTTACTGTGGGCTGACCATTTAGACTAATACAGTATTGATGATTTCACTCTAACTTCAGCCCGGATAAAATAATCACATTGTTTCGCCAGCGATAAGTGCTTTAGTTACATACTCCGGAGCATGAATGATTGAAAGATGCCTTTTCTCTTAAGTGAAGGTGCTTGAAGATGGAAGTTTCCTTGTAAATTTCTTCCATGCTTTTGGTCACCCTTAGAAATCTACTGTCCTGTATACTTAGTAACTAACCTGGATCTGAGACTTTTTTTTAAAAAATACAGCCAAAGCAGAGACGTAGGCAATGGTGAATACTGGTGTAGGATATTTAATAACAATTGCCTTTTGACAAAATTTTTCATTTCCAGGAAATATAATCGAATTGTATGGAGAAGGTTGATTTGGATACCATTCCTTGCCCATATTGATCATTGTCGTTAATTGCCTTTTTGATTTAAGGCTGAAAATGTTAAGTTTTCAATGGTACTATGAAAGGGTAGCAAATACCGATTTCCGTGCTCTCTGTCTAAACCTAAAACATTAGAATAGAGAAGGAAGATATTTTGGGTTTTAAATTGAGTTCATGTGTGCTAAAGTTGCACATTTATCTGTAAACTCTATTAGCGAGGGTACTTTTTAGGGGAGTCAACTGTCCAAGTGTCCTGCACGTTTTCAGGAAAAACTTTAGACTTTAATAAATTGAGGTTATTACAGTTTTGATTTCTGAGTCTTGAAGTGAAATTTTCCATTTTGAGGATCCTCATACTATAGAGTAAGAGCTGTTTCTGGCTGTTGCTCTCCCCCAGAAAGAAGTGTGTTGTGTACGTTATTCTCTGTGCTAAGATCAGTTCTCTGCAGGTGTCTCTAACTCCAGCAAGCTGATCCCATGTGGTCTGCTCATATTGGGCCTGTCACAATGACATGACTTTCCCCTAAGCAAAGTTATCCAGTAAATTGCTGTAATTCCCAGAGACTTTGGGGGGGGGGGGGCGAGGAAGGCAGCTGTAAGTTCAGTCATTGGCAAGCCTTCTGGTGTTAGAAATTTGAAGCTCACTGTAGTATTTGTGTTTTGCGTGATCTTTGTCCTACTGATTGCCATGTGACTCACTTTCTATACCCCCTTCTGTTTCATGCTTCTCCTCATCTGGACTTCTGATGACAGCTGGGAATGGTGAGGAAGAAATTCTGCCCCACTGTAACTTGCAGGTTTTTACCTACACCTGTGATGTGGGGAAGAGAGAGAATGTCTACCTGACAGCTGAAAGGGTCCGCAAGGAAGTCGGTGAGGTCTCGGTCCTGGTCAATAATGCTGGCGTGGTCTCTGGGCATCACCTTCTGGAATGTCCTGACGAGCTCATTGAGAGAACCATGATGGTCAATTGCCACGCTCACTTCTGGGTAAATATAAACACCCTTGTTTGCACTACTGGGTCTTCCTCAGTAAGAAGGTTGGGAAGGAGGGAGATTTCTGTGGCAGTCTGAAAGCCACCTGCACTCTTTAACCGTCGGGTTTCCTTCTAATGATCGATTCCCCATGGTGAATTACAGTGTATGTATGTTATCCCCCTCTTACTTCACTCCCACGATTCACAATTTCTTGAGAAAGCAGAGGACGGAACGTTTTGAACTAGTTTGAAAGAGTGCCATGAAAATAACAAGAAGGAGCATAAAGCTCTGGGTTTGTTTATTTTACTTTCTGTTGAGTTTATAAAACATTGGTTGTTCTTATGAATTTCTCAAGTTAGGGTTTGAGCTTCCAAATGACTGCTCAGCCACATTTTAGAAAGGGCCAGAAGTTCTGATATCAGCATTTGTGGTCCACAGGGAGAGGTCAGGCCACCCTGGCTATCACTTAACATCCATTGACCATCCACAGGGGCCAGGGCATTGTCCTGTTGGAAGACACATTTCGGGACTTTCTCAGTTTAGTAGATGCCTCTCGGATGAGAACAGAAGTCACCCTGATAGGACCTGTGAGTTGGAGATCTGAATAATATCAGCTTTTAACTCTCAGAGCTACTGCAGCATCTAGGGATGAGAGGGAGGGCCTTCTGCCACTTGGGGGGGGCACAAGTAACCCCAGTTTTCCAAGGTTATTCTTATTCTTACTAAGGGTAGGTATGAAGCTTTCCCCTATAACTCTGTACACTGTTCACCCACTGTTGACTTTTCCTTCCTCATAGTATTTCCCCTTTACTTTTAGTTTTCAATTTAAAAAGGGGGGGGGGCAAGGAAATAGGGTTTTTGTGTGTTTTTATCCCATAGGCAGATTAGCCCTCTAATCACAGTAAAGAACTGTTTTTGTTTTTCCTAAATAGGTCATGTTGCTTCAAAACTTAATCTGGCTTTAGAAGTACTTATTCAGATGTTACTGGTCGAACATCAAACCTTTTCTCTGATTCTGGGAGTTTATTTCATGTTTTGTTTTTAAACCTGAACTTTAATTCATTCATTTTGAAACCTCGGAAAATGAACCTAGAAATACCCTGAGCTAACTCTGTGTTTTGAATAAGTAGGATCAGCACATGCAATTTGGGGAGCTCGAGTGTGTTTGCATGTGTCCACGCAGGCTCGTGTGTGTTCGTTGTGTACAGTGGAAGTGAATTAAGTCCTCGCTGCGGCTAGGTTCACAAGAACAGGTGGCAGGTGTCCTCGAGGTGGGATAGGTGAGTAAAGGCCAACCGAATATACTCAGCAGAATTTATCAAGAATCCTGTGTGTTTCTGAGTAAAGCAAAGAACCACCACTTAAAAAAAAAAAGCCATGTGCATATTGCCGGTGGCATTTAGTTTTCATACCTGAAGAATGGTAAGGATGAAGCTCCTGTAGAAACTCCAGTTGATTCCTCAAGCCCTAAACAGATTCACAACCATGAGTGGATGGCTTGTGAACTACAGACACTGGATCCTTTTCCAATAACCTTTGACTTAGATGATGCAAGATTTCCTAACTAAACTTTTACCTACACCAAACTCTGAAGTTTAGCCATTTTGCCTACTTCCTCTGCATGATGATTTTGCTGAATTTTAAAATTTCACACGTAACCCAGTTTTTACAGAAACCCCCATAAATCTGTAGTCAAGCTGCTTTCTCTCTGCAAGTATTTATCTTCCTTAGACACCCAGTAGAACAAGTGCCAATTTAGAGCGTGTTAAGCACAGAAATCCACAGCCTTAGTTTTGGAAGTACAGAGAAGTTGATGTATTTGTGATATTAGGCTACTTGCTAACATGAGGGGGAAATTGAATCCAGTCTCTAATAGAAAAAGTATTTGGGACTGAGTCTGTATGCCAAGGAGGAACATACCACCTTCCTAAGAGTCCTCACTGTGCTTTGAGATGTTGCTTCACCACACAAATTAGGGAGTTCTTGGAAGCCTTGACGGTAATGACGTCACTTCATATTAAAATATGGGAGGCTCCTGAATTCTCCAGCTGTTTTTCCCTTAAGCATCTAAACTGAAGAATTTATTTTCAATATTGAGTCAGAAAATTCATTTTAGAGTTGGAATTTCTGACTTCTTGCCGGGATTTATAAACTCTTTGAGAAGTTGAGATTTAACAACTAAAATGTAAAAGACTTACTAAAAATGTTACAATGCCCTCCTCTCCCTCAGGATTAAATAGTGTTGTAAGCACCACCTGAATTCAGCTTTTTTTTTTCCCAGCAGTCCTCTTAAGCAAAAATGTTGGTGGTAGCATTTCAAAGACAGCATTGGCATGTACTGTCATCCTTCCAGAAAAAGTAAGGAGTGGGTCTTTTTACTGTATCCGGGTGAGGAAAAGAAGTTACCACATGCATTTTTAAAAGTAGATCAGCTAAACAGACTCGTGCAGTCATTCAAACCAATCAGCTTGAATCAGACGTCTAAGTAGCAATTAATGTCTGTTTTCATAAAATAACAAAATGTTGATCTTAACTCAGAATCATATATGGTGAAAATTAGAAAACCACGTGGACTTCCACTGAAAAGCTGTGGGTGCTCCCACTCAAACCATTGCTCATACTCTTTCCCCTACCTGGAATGCCCCTTTCCTCCACTTCATACACTTCTAAGGCCTAGCTGAACTGTCCAAGATAACCTTCCCTTCTCACTCAGTGCTTCTGGCATTTTTGGATATAGAGCTGCAAGGATCCTGAGACCCTTGTCTAACTCTTTTTTTTTTTTTTTTTTTTTTTTTTTTTTTGCCAGCAAAGCTGTGGTTAACTGATGTGTCTAAAGCTTCGCTTTTTCTTTCTGTTAATTTCTTGGAGTATTTGTTGTCATTCCCATCCTTTAGTGCACAGTGCTCTGAAATATAACTTTTTTTTTAATGTTAGAAGGATGCTTCCATACACATGAGAGAGAGAATAAAAAACATCCCCCCACCACTATGGGACTTGGTCATGCTACAACCTGTTCTCACTTCTCCATCCTGTCCGGATCCTGGGCACACATGCATGTGCCTGGCATGTTTTTCAGCTCTTGGACCAGAACTCGAACCCTGATCAACCATGTGGGGTCTGGCTTCTTCTGCATAGCACTTAACTGCTGTGCTAAGTTATACCAGCCTTGTATAACTTTTTATGCAATGTATCCTGCATATCTCAAAGTATTGGGTCATCAGAAAAGTCATGACACATTTTTGCATAGAAAAGTATGTCATGACTTTTCCAGTGACCTATTAGCAAACTGTCTGAAGGCAGTTTGTTATACACATCTGTTAGTTTTCCTCTGCCTGAAACAGAACTCTATTTTTTTTTAAAAGAACTGTTTATTTAATTTTACTTATTCATCCATCCATTCATTTTAATTTGACTAGAGGGAGACAGAGAGGAGAGAAAGTGAGAAAGCAAGCCACCAAGTCTGGGACTTGAACCATGATCAGCTATGTGTCCGGCGCCTTAACCATGTCACCTGCTTTGCCCCCAGAACTCTATTCTTAAGTCTCTCAATAAATATTTGTTAATAATAGGTTTCTGCTTTAATATTTAGGAGATAACCTGTTTAGAAAATACTCATACGGGTCTGTATTCCAAAGTTTTAAAAGGTAATAAGCATTGAATTATTACCTCAAATTGTGTAAGACATATTTCAGAATGGAACTAGGCCACAATTATTATTGCTTGTACCTCCTTTTGCTTTCCTGCATAACTGTTCCATTCTTTCTGCCCCACCTGTGTTCTTGTATTTGCTCTGAGAATATTTCCTAAAGGTCAGGGAAACATGGAATTAAAGTATGAATTTATTTTGATGCAAAATTTTTGAAAGCTATGCATTTTTTAAATACTATGAACCTTCCATAAACCTTCGGAAGACCTCATATTAATCCTGCTCATTACTGTGAAGCTAGCGGCTTTGACAAGACTGGTATTGGCATACCAATGTGAATCAAGCTTAGTCTGAATGTGTAGCAACCATTCATATTTCCCAATGACCAGACCTCAAGGGGAGGATTCCCCACAGCAGTTCCTCCCTTGCTTCTTAGTGTGCACCATGTCTATAGACTTTGGAAGCATTTGTCACACCTGCTGTTATTCTGCACAGCCTTCCAATCTACTGTGACACTTCATTTTCCAGTGTTCTGTCACGTTAGTTCTCCCAGGCCCCTCTCTTGGTCACTCGTCAAGCAGTGATAGATTTGGGGTATATTCCATTCAGCATAATCTGCTATCAATCACTCCTAGTTAGGACAGGCCTATGGAGAAGGAATGTAGTCTCATGCACTTAATTCCAGCATAGGAATCGTTCACATGGGCTGTCTCTTTATCTCAGTGAGATGCAAAGACCTGAAAATGCCTCTCTGTTCCACTTTGAAATATGGAAAGCTGGCCTCCATATATGAACTGCAAAGCCATGTTTCCTTCCCCAAAATAGAGCGAGTAAAATCTTAGCTTGCCTTTTCTCAGTGCTGAAGTTTATCCACAGATTTTTTTTTTTCTTTTGACCGAAAGAGCAGCATTTGGCCTTTATATGTGAGCAGCAAATTGATCCCTGATTAGCCAAAAGGGGGAAACAAAAGCATCTAACTCCAGGCCTTTTATGCTCTGAGGAAATTTTACATGGTAAAGGACTAAATCTGTCAGATAGCTAGTCGGTAATTTACTTCTATTGATATGGTAGTCAGACAAGATAATTGGTAGTTAATTAATAGACCACTTAACTTAAAAGGTTTCACAGTTCTAAAATACTAATTACTGAATTAGGCATTTATCTATATCCCAGGGTCTAAAGTCTATTTAGTTAAAATCCATCCAGGAAAAGTAAAAGCCACCAGCTGGATCTGAGTAATGTAGCACTTAAAGACATTAGTGCCGTGCTTATACCTAATATCTCGTGGAGAGTCCCTAATCATTCATGTTCAAGTTCTTATGTGATTTACTTGGATTCCACAAGCTCTAGTCCTCTATTTTCTAGA